ATTTACTTGAAGATATAATTGATTAGACATTTTGTGATGTAGCAATACATTACTTAAATGAAAAAAGGTTGTGATATTGGTTGCATTTATCGGTATTTCTTGCGTGAAGATAAATATGGAGGGGATATTAGAAAATGTGAAAAGGTAACTTTCCATTATTTTGATGCATTGTTGACAAGTTAGCTAGTAAAATTGCTTGAGTAATGGTTTATTGACATTTTGAATTTTTAAATGCATAGATTTTCATTCCAATGAATCTTGGAGGTCATTGGTACTTGTGTATAGTCGACATAATCAGACAGGAGGTTTTGATATTGGATTTACTTAGGCCAAAAAATTGCAGTGAACGTATTTCAAGTGCTAAAGTTATGGTAATTAGTTTGGAAATTATTATTATTATTATTATTATTATTATTATTATTATTATTATTATTATTATTATTATTATTATTATTATTATTATTACTTTTTTGAAGAAGTTCTATTGGCTGATATTTTATTTATAAAATTACATTGTCATGTAAGCTCAAGGGTTTCCATGAGGCTTTAGAGATTGGCTTTGGTACAACTTATAGTGTCAATATTTCTAAATTTCCTACGAAAATCGCGCAATGGGCACCACAACAAAAGAATCAGTAAGTTTGAGTTTGAGTTATGTTGAATCAGATATTCTAACGACAACATTAATTGTTGATCACATTGTTGTATTGCAGTTATGATTGTGGATTATTCACAATAAGATTCATGCAACTATATGACGAGCTACGGGACGGGATGCATTTCAGTATTGAAAACTCATATCTGGAGAGAATGAAAGTCGCTATTGAGATGTTCTACCATGAAGCAAATGAAGCCAAGGAGGAGATACTTAGAAAATAGCGCACTCTTCGGAAGCTGTGAGTCCAGCCTCTGCTGCAACATCTTAATCTTCACCGACAAATCGGACTTCTGCTCCTTACTGTAGGTCTTTAATGTTATTCTTGCTTTTACATGAAGTATTAATTTTCATAATGCCACTTAACTCTTTAATGTATTCTTATTTTTACTTGAAATATAAAATGTGTTTTTGTATTTTTCAGCACATCTAGTGCCGTAACTGTTTGAAGCACCATTAGGAGGCCAAGATAGTAGACCGAGAATTAAATTTCGCAAAGTCTTATCAGATTTATTATTATTTTTTGAAGGTTTACCTTTTATTTTAAACTAAAGTTAACATTCACTAGACTTGAAAGTCTCTGATCTTGTCCCTATGCCACTGCATTTTGTTGATTTTTGTTCTTTGTTCAGTTTTGAAGATGATTCGACTAATTTCTAAAGTAATGTTTTCTTATCGATTTTTATGTATTATGTTTGTTTGGTGTTTGGATGGGGGCTGATTCATTGTGATGTTGCTGTCATTCTTGGATTTTCAAACAGCTACATGTATATAACAACTCACATATAGCCTGCTAGTTGTAAATCCCGGCCTTCACGTAAATCCTCATTTGAAATGTCGAAATCCAATGAATCATTCTCATATTCTTGGGATTTCATCTAGGGGCATGTTGTTTTCTTGTGTCCAGGGAAGCCTACAAACATTTTTAAAGTTTAAATAAATTAATATGTTCTGCAAAGTTTATATTGAACTTTCATAATGCGTGTAAAGTCTGATGATTGTTTTTAACAAGTGACTTCTAAGTACAGATGAATATAATAAAATACTTGCATTTCCTGCGCCGTCTTGGTTTTTGTTTGGAATGTAAACCAGTTGATCCTTTTAGTTTTTGTAATTATTGGATCCTGCACTTGTGAACTACAAAGGGAAAGTTGAAAAGTGTCGTATATTTTCTCTTATGAATTTTGTGGATTTATAGAGAAAGTAGGACCTTAAAGTGAAATGATTTGAATTGGA